AATATGTATAAGAGTTCAAGGAAAACTGCTCCCTCCTAGACAGATATGGCGAGGCCTCCCACAAGGTTCTGTTTTAAGTCCTATTTTATTTAACATATACACCCATAATCTCGAATATTCTGTTAACTCCTTTTGTAACGTCTTACAATATGCTGACGATCTAACTCTTTATTACTCTTCTAAGAACTTTACAGGCTTGAGTTATCGTCTTAACTCTGCATTGTTCTACTTAAATAATTGGTTTACTAATAACGGTCTATCCTTATCACCTACAAAGAGTAGAGTAGTAATATTCTCTAGAAAAAGATTTTGTCCCAATATTTCAATCTCAGTACAAAATCAAATAATTCCGACAAGTGATAATGTTAAATTTCTAGGTGTTTTTCTGGATTCTAAGATGACAGGTATTCCTCATTTAATGTTCATTGCCCAAAATGCGAAAAGAATGTAAATATTCTTCGTTCACTGACAGGTGTTTGGTGGGGATCTCATCCATATTGTTTAAAACTTTTATATAACGCTCTAATCCGTAGTCATTTTGACTACGGTACATTTATTTTGGAACCTTGTAATAAACAAGCTCTTAACCTTTTAGATAAAATCCAACTCAAGTGCTTACGAATTATTTTAGGGGCCATGAAATCATCTCCATCAAATGCTCTACAAGTTGAATGTGGCGAACCTCCTCTTTACCTACGTAGACAGTATCTTGCCGATCGCTTTATATATCGAATATTTCAGCTATCTTCACACCCACTGCTTTCTAAACTGCATTCTTTAAACTCTGGTTTGAAGAATAACAACTACTGGACTCATAAAGACGTTCCCTGTATTCTTAAAAGCTACCAAAAGATACTTACCTTCAAATTTCCCATATTTCAAAGTATGATTAATCCTCTATTCGTACATCCATTTGAAGCTTTATGTTATCACCCTCCAGTTATATTAGATTTTGGTGTGACTAAAAATTCCCCTGTAGCCCAAGAAAAATTTCTAAGTATATTACGTAAAAAATGGGAAGGCTGGTTGACCCTTTTTACTGATGCATCCAAACTCTCCGATAATAGTTTTGTAGGTTCAGCTGTCTGGATACCAAAATATAAAATTATTTTAAATTTTAAAAATTCAAATGTTACTTCAATTTTCACTGGTGAAGCGGTTGCTATTTTAGAAGCAATTTTATTTATAGAAGCACATAAAATTAACAAATGTATTGTTTTTACTGACTCATATAGTTCATTACAAAGCATTTCATCTAACCCGTTTCGAAGTAAATCGAAATTCCCAATTATTTTTGAAATAAAAGATGCACTGTATAGGTGTTTTTGTCAAGGTCTTAACCTGAAACTTGCTTGGCTGCCAAGTCATAGTGGCATACGTGACAACGAATTTGTTGATTCCTTAGCAAAGCAAGCATCTACTTCTGGTTCCCTCATGCATCATATAACATATACTCATGACCTTATTTCTCTTGCGAAAATCCATCAGATGTCAGATTGGAACTCTCTTTGGAAAAAAACTCAGAAGTCTATCGGTAAATATTATGCAGAACTCCAACCTGACATCCCCTCCAAACCATGGTTTTTTAAATTTAGAAATGGTTCCAAACATAGCACATCTGTCATATGTAGAGTTAGATTGGGACACACTTGTACTCCTGTATTTTTGGAAAAACTTAAGATTAAAGATAGCTCAATTTGTGAATGTGGCTTAGACGAAGGTACGATCGATCATAAATTTTTTAACTGCCCTAACCTCTCCGTTTCATTATACGATTTTCTTCCTAATAACATTCCTCGTCCTGTAAATCTTAAGTCTTTGTTAAATTTAGTTTTCACTCCATTTGTTCAAACTTTATTAGATTTCATATCCATTAATAACATTAAACTATAGTACCTTTGCCACTTACCTATATCCATATTATTATATTAGCAATAATTTTGTAAAAATATTATAATGTTAATTCATTCGAAAATAACTACATAGGTAAGTTCGTAACATAAAGTTAAGTAAGCGCGTCTACGGAAACAGAAACTAGTAAATACTCTGTGTGACTCTCATGAAATACTTGACGCTGGCAGAATCCGTTGGAAGTTGCCAAACTAGGAAAAAAAAAAGACTCGAGAAAATTCAAGAGCGATGATTTATTATGACTTTCGAAGTGGTTTAACACCAAAAACAGTGTGTTGACCGGATGATTTCTGCATTTGGTGATGAAGCCCCATCCAAAACCACAATTTATCGCTGGTTTGCCGAATTTCAACGTGGACGTGTCAAGCTCAGTGATGATCCCCGTCAAGGTCGTCCAAAAACTGCTATCACCCAAGAAAACGTTGATGCTGTGCGTAAGCTGATTGAGGAAGATCGACATGTGACAAACCGCGAAAATCAGGCAACCTTAGACATTGGCATGAGTCAAATACAAATAATCTTGCATGAACAATTAGGTGTAAAAAGTTGTTTTCCCGATGGATACCGCATTCGCTCTGTGAAGAGCAAAAAGCGGCTTGCGTTACTTGGTGCGTCAGAATTCTCGAAAGATTCCACGCAGGATCCTCAAATGCTGTATACAACATCGTATCAGGTGACGAATCCTGGATATACGCGTACGAACTCGAAACAAAAAACCAGTCACGAGTTTGGGTGTTCGAAAATGAGTTAAAGCCAACAAAAATTGTTCGTTCACGGAGTGTTGCAAAAAAAATGGTGGCCACGTTTGTCTCCAAAACCGGCCGTGTTACGACTATTCCTCTTGAGGGACAAAGAACGGTTAATGCAGAATGGTATGCTAGTATTTGTTTGCCACAGGTAGTTTCTGAACTCCGTAAAGAGAACTGCAACCGCCGCATCATCCTCCATCACGACAATGCGAGTTCTCACACCGCACACAGAACAAAAGAGTTTTTAGAGCAAGAAAACATAGAATTATTAGACCATCCGCCGTACAGCCCCGACCTAAGCCCTAATGATTTCTATACTTTCCCTAAAATAAAGAATAAATTGCGTGGACAGAGATTTTCATCACCTGAAGAAGCTGTGGACGCCTACAAAACGGCCGTTTTGGAGACCCCAACTTCCGAATGGAATGGTTGCTTCAATGATTGGTTCCAATGGAGGAAAGCAATAAATACATTTTTAAATAGTACCTAATGTTGTGTCACTTCCTTGATTCCCGAAATTTTCAGTGTCGCCCTCGTACGATACTTATAACAAAAACACGATTTTTAAAATTTTTGTCTGTCTATCTTTCTGTCTGTCTGTCTGTACCGGCTAATCTCCGAAACGGCTGCACCGATTTTGACCGAATTTGCACTGGCAGATAGCTGACGTTATAAGAAGTAACTTAGGCTACTTTTATTTTAGAAAAAGAATTAGGGTTCCGCGCAAAAAAAAAAACCATGAAATCCAATCGGAATAAATTACGCGCGGGCGAATTCGCGGGGAACAGCTAGTCTACCAGTAAAAAGTGTTTCATGCTGACTAGCCATAATTGCTATTGTCTATGTATTGTATAAAGTAAGTAGGTACCTATATTATAGTGAGAATAGACATTTCATTCAATAACCCCAAGCTACTATTTTTTTCCGCGCGAACTTTTTGAAAGAGAATTAATTTAGAATGTAAGCAAAGAATGAGAATGATGTTCTTAATAACAAATATAAAGTAAAATTTTATGTCTCTAAATAGAGATTCACTTGAACATAAAATTAAAATTAAATAGATTAACCAGACGGTTAATCTTTTACCCGACTGCCTCAGAAAGAGGGTAATGTTTACTGAGTATATGTATGTATTCCTATTCTTTGCATGTTCTATAGCCTACTAACAATCTATGGAGATTTTACACTTGGGGTGTCATTAGATTCGTCTTAGACGTGGAAGTAACGTAAGGTTGATTTTTCTCTTTATGATTTTGTAATTACTGTTGTAACCGTAGGGCTTGTTTTATTCAATAGAGTAACGAAGTTGACCTAACTGAAAATACGGCGACTACTGAATGTTTATAGAAGATACCAACTTCGAGCCAGATATTACCCGGGCAATACATGTTAGCCAAGCCTCGGCCAACGCGAGCGTAGACAAATTGATACAAGGCGAGTGCTACAGTCTACATGTTGGTCAAGTTCGAAAGAGACCAATGCCAACTGTCAATGTTCACCAGTTTTTGTGGGGCTATTCACATGTTGGCCGTAGGTAATTAGTTTTCATTGACAATTGGAACGATATGGACGACGTAGAAGTTATTGCAGCTTCTGCTATTTATTTAATGAGTGCATATAATTATTATGTCAGTGTGCTCCGCAGTAAAGTTGTAAAAAAGAAGAAGTAGTGACATTGTCGAAATTATTTTGAAGTTCCAACTTAGTTAAAAGGGACGGACGCTAACCTGTAACTTATATGACATGGCCGACTAACATGTGGACGCGACTTGCCGAGTGCAGGCGAGCGCCTTTGATTTGTGCAGAAATACCGACACTTCCGAAGTGGGCGATTCGTAGCAAGCGAACCCGAGTGGCGGCAAGGCGCGCCAAACGAACCGTATACATGTTGGCACTCGGCCAGCTAGGCGATCGTCGACGAGCAATGGCGAAACTAGACAAATGGGCTCTCTATATGTTGGTGTTCGCCTACGCTCGGCCAACATGTATAGCCGGCTTTACAGTACCACGAGTTTACACATTAACATTGCGGCGTGCTCGGTGTACCAAACGATAACATACATAAAGGTGCGATAGGGTGCAGTGTGAGAAAGAAGAGAGTAATCATACGTGACTCGTCACCAGATCCGAAAACAGTGTGTTTTTGCACGAGACTATGCGGTCTTCTGTTGATGCAAAATACATCAGAGGAATATTTAGATCTAATTCTTTTACTTGCGACTTAAACGTACCTATCGCTTATGATATAGGTAAGGGGGTAAGCTAATTTGATGATCATTCCGTTAGAAATATAAATAGTACCTATTGAAGAAACGTGTGAGGTAAGTAAAAACGAAAAATAAAGGTTTAATAATACCATTTATTTAATGGTTAGGCTAGTACATAAATATATTATTCTGATAACGTAACATTATCATTACAATGGTTAACTTTCTTAATTGATGACTCTTTTAAAACTAAGGTAGATATTTGTACAACTATTGTAAATAGTTACAAGATAATTTCGAAGTGATTACGCAAGAAATAAATTACTAGTATAATTCAAAAAGTTCGAGTGAATTTTAAATTTCATTACGATAAAAGATCTAGACTATCACATTCGCAAATTATGATTCCATACGAATTTTGTATTTTACATATATTTTATTGGCAAGAAACTAAAAAAAATAATTAAATACATCCATAAATTCTTTCTGTTTATTATATAGAGAGTGAAGGAATAGAGAGATACTTATAAACAATATAGCCAGTGTATAGAATGATAAAAGCAATTTGCCATACTACAACGAATAGCAAACTGACTTATCCATTACTGTCGCCACCGCGAGCGATGTTCTTAAAACACCCCAGGGTAGCAGTCATTGTCACGTCTCATGGATAAAACCTTCCACATGCACTCATTGAGATTACAACTTTTAGATTTACCAAGCATTGGTATATTTGATCACAAATAAAAATACATTTCGTAAACTTCGGCATACACAAATTATTTACACTATTGTGCACATTTTGTACTTTTAACAAGATTCACATAAATATGCGATAGAAGTCCAATTGTACCATATTACACACTCTGCAAGCGCTTGTTTAACTGCAAAATCATCAGCCTGTCAACATAGTCTCACTTTATTTACACATCTGTCCATAAAATTCTTTTTTCTCTTGGTTTGCGTCGCAGCGTCTAAAGGCGTAGGCAAAGGGATTTGCGTGTGCGTTTTGCCGTCTGCTTCTAATATGCCTTCACAGCTACGGCACCGACGTGTTGATTTTGCGTTTTCATTAGTGTCTATGTGGTCGGAGCTTTCCGACAGCCTTTCAGATAGACTGTACAAAGACATGCCGGGGGACATTGATTTAGACGTGTTGCAACTACTAAGCAATTGTTCGCAGCTTTGAGAAGTCGTCGGCGGAGCTTTGTCTAAGGATGACTGACGATTTCTTCGTGGTCTGTGGAAGAAACATTTTCTTATTATTGCAAAAAAAAAAAAAAAACAGTTAACAGGATAAACATTGATATGTTTAAGGAAATAGGTAGGATTAAAGAAGTGCTTTTGCTATCTATATAATTGCTATATCCGTGTAGTTCATCATAAGATAATCTATAACTTCACTTAGTTCCATAGGTCTTGTAAAATTCGATCTAAAATGCTTTAAAAGTACTGTAACATCCTGTGGCATCCCGCAGCATGCCAAAGGATCTTGTGGCAATCCGCGTCGTGACAAAAGCAGCCGCTTTCGGGCGCTAACTAAGTTTAGCACTGTGCTATTTAAAATTTCAACCTTGTTTTAATTAATTAGCACTCACATTCCTTTAACAACATAAAGTAACTTATGCGTTAGCGTGATGCAGCGGCAAATCGGCATCCTATGGAATGCCGTGACCAGCAGCAGTATGCCGTGGTGTCACGTGACGCGTTTCGGTCTAATCGTGTAGAAATAAAGGAATGTCAGTGCAAAGATCATTATAAAATAACGTCGAAAATCTTATTTTCCGCGAAAAAAATCTCGACACGCCGTGCGTGCCATGCTGTCTGTAAGCGCAGGCCCTAATTATCATCTTATAAAGTGTTCAAATGGATGTCAGAGCAATTATATATAAAACGTTAACTAAAGCAGTTTCTGAGGCACTCTTGGACTCGAGACGTCTTTATTAAGTAATGGACTATTGCAAGCTGATGAATTATTTTTACTAAAATAATTCAATCAAACAATAAATACTTTTGAATATTATTTATTGTACCAATACAGAAATAAATAATATGAAGAAAATAAAATAAACAGTCTTATCGCCTTGAAAGCGGTCTAGAAGAAAGCAGGAGATCGTAGGAGATTAGGAGAGTGGTGTATTAAACAACAAACAAAGCTGAAGATGATAATAGTCTATGATAAAATAATATTGTCCAAGTTTCGGAATAGAAAAATACGATGGAGATTTGCAGGAAAGACTGAACCAAGCACGTCGGATATAATATCCTACTCGATCTCTTTGATAAAATGAAATATGTCTTTAATGAAATTACATATTAAAATTGTCTTTGTCAAAGGATAGTTTTTATATATGCATTATGCACTACAGTTTCAAAATTTAGTTCTTTTGATAAACACAGACTACATTTAATAAGAGGAGAAACAGCTAGACAGCAAAAACAGCTAGAATTTCAAAGTACGATTTCTGAAAGAAAGAATGGACTAAGCACGTCGAATATAATATCCTACTTGCTCTTTAAAATAAAATGAAATCTCTTTTCTCCCATGAAATTAAACATTAAAATGTCGTTTGTCAAACGTTATTTTTATTTGATGTGCTATAGTTTCTGATTATAAACACAGAGTACATTTAATTAGAGAGAGAAATCGCGATATAAACTAAATTAGGTATAGTATTTTAATACTTATAACGGTCTGAATATAATTTTAAGGAATGTAGTTAATCGATAACCAAAGTAAGTTCCATAATAAATTAAAAAAAAAACCAAGAAAAACTATAGAATTCATCAGTGCGTAGCAAATCCAAGCAGATCAGCTGCAAGTAATACGTAATGTGGAAGCTATGGCCGCTCTTAGATATATTAAAGGAAAGGGGACGACCAATTAGATTGATTTTAATTATTTGTTTTGGGTCAATGAATTTAATTACTTTGGAATAGATACACAATTTCCTATGGGGAATGTTAAATACATTAGGTATATGAATGTGACACAATAATTACCTAACAGGCGGCAGGGTGTGCGTGGGCTCTAGTCAGTCAGCCTTGTCGCTCCCTCGGCTCTCACACGACGGCATGCGCTGGTAGCTGGGCGGGCCGCGCCCGATCGCCGCCGTGCCCGGAGTCGTCACGTCGCCGCGCCCACGGAGAGGTCCTTCAAACCGAGTGCCCAGGTTCGACTTGCCCCGTAGGAAACTGGTGAAACGAATAGAATATAATACTTTATTTGACAGTTTGCACCTTAAATAATTTATCAGTGATTCTCACACTAGGCGCGCAGATCTGTATCGATCATCAAAAACAGAATTGGTGCACGGTTGGCTTTACAAGGTTTATTTTAAATGAACACTTTAAAACAAAACTTTACTTTAAATGTCTTCCTTATTTTATTTTGATAGATTAAACGGTTTGTTTAGTTGTTTCTTTTTAGGTTAAACATTTGTAATTATTTGTTGTCACCCGTATTTTTACTTATAAAATGTTGCTACCATACTTTTAAAATTATATTATTTTCTTTTAATTTATATAGCATGCAAAAAAACATCCATAGGTATTGATACTTTTGTAAAAATCCCGTCACCTGAAGTCTCAAGAAAATCAATCACTCCATTTCATTTTAATCCCGTGGGTATCCAAGAGGCGACTTTGGAATATATTAGAAATATGTTGTAGCTTCTAATATATACCATTTCACTTACGCGAGGCATAAAATACTTAACCGATGACGGGCAAGCAGCGTCCTTTAATTGGCAGTGATGATTATAGAGGAGACCCCATCCCCTTATTCGCCCCTCACCCCCTTCGTGTCGTAGGATACTAAAGCAATGCCTAAATCTTCCCTATAACAGAAGAGGCCTATATCCTTCGATGGAATTTTACGCGTCAATGATGATAAAGAAGAAGTGATTAATAATATGAGCCACCAATATTTAATGAAGGAGTTTCATACCTTTCTAGTTTCTCCACGCAAGCGTCTTGATAGTCGTGTATCCAGCGAACACCATTAAAGTGGCACACGGCGCGCATATCTTCCGGCAGTTCCTCGGGCTCGGGCCACTCGAAGTTGTCGATAATGGGCACGATGTTGCACTTGGATTGTAAAGCAGCCACTATCTCCTGGAGGATCATAATGTTTTATTTATGAGATTGTGCATACTTTTAAAATTATAATAATAAACTAGGACTTTAATCTAAATTAAGTTGGTAATCAAGATGCAGGAAGTTATGTCGTTCATATTTTATAACGGAAACGCAAGGATGTATTTAAAAATAAATTAGCAACACAAATGTTATCATATGAAAAGATCTAATGAACTTAAGGTCCGATTTTAACAAGTAAATCTGAGTACTGTGGGCGTAGGATAAGGATAAGGCTTGGTTTTTAACTTTCCTTTATAAATCAATTTTCATGATATCGTGTCATCCCGCTATTTAAGTATTATTATTATATTTCTCTTAAGGAAGTTATAACAAAATGCGGTGATAATGTAAAATTAATAACAATTTAAAAAAGGAGATACAGATCTATATTTATGCGATTTATGGGATAGGGTGACAAACGAGCACACAGTCCACCTGATGGTAAGTGGTTGCTGTGGCCCATAGACATCTACATCTGTCCTCGTTTGCGAATCAAAATGCAGATGCGTTGTCACCCGCGAGGACTAAGATGGAATGCCTCTTTTCGAGTAAAAAGGGTCTCCGGTTCTGTACACTCACCATACGAAAGACAGCAGTGTTAAGCTGCTATTTTACGCTGGTATTCTGTGAGAGCGTGGTCCTTCCCCGGTCGAGCCAACCCATTCGTGCTACAACTACACTACTAATATAGCTGCAGCATGGTTCTACCTATAATATGTATTCTAAGTTTGAATTTAAGTTAGTGCGCAATGCGAAGTGAAATAATTATCTAGCATGCATTTTATTTTTCTAGTTTATGCTTCTTTAGGTAAAGGGTCTTATTTTATATTGATAAATTTTTAAATAGAATCACTAAACGAATTTATAAAGAACATATAATCAACGTACCCGATGAACCCAGTCTTTCTGTTCCGTGTCGTGCTTACACCTTTCAAGAGCATTAGGCGTGAGCACTAAAAGGAAGTTCTTCGCTTGTCGTATACTTTGTAGCAAGTTGTTGTCGAACTTTCCCGCTTCTAATCTTTCTACGTCGATGAAAACGGTGAAACCACGCAACTGTAGATGGACTTTCAGCAGACTCGCAAGTTGTGAACCATTGGACCGTCTATAACTCACGAATACATCTAGATTCTTCTCCATATTCTCTTCGCCTTTGCTTGGTAGTGTACTTTCATATACTGTAAGTAATTATAACAGTTAAGAATACTTCAACGCAATTGATGTTTTGATACTAAATTTTGTCTAGTATACTGTATTTTGATGAATAAATTTATATACTCTAAGTTTGTTAAATAATTCTATTATGTTGTGGCAGTGAAAGAATATCCACTACCTTATATCTTCCCGTGAGTATCATAAGAGCCAACAGAGAGAAAAAGACGTTCAGCAACGTCTTCTTAAAAACACGCTGCGGTTGCAAACCCGCCTGCGAAGCGTGGTAACTATGGTACCTAAATATCAAATATATATGTATATATATATACACACACAAGGGACAAAGTTACAAAAAATGTTCACAATGTTACATAATGGAATCAATGGGTTGTATTCCAATGCTTACAGTTTATATTATGTTCATTTGATTTTTGCTTCAAATTGGTGTTGTACAATATTTATTTTTATCTCTATATTATTAAAAATTCACATACGTAGGTACTCTTATTAAGCTTTAAGTAAATATTTTATTTATGGACTTTTTATAGATTTAATTATGCCTTAATATATTTTTTTAATTTTACTCCTAAATTATTATATGAAATAACTAACTTGCTAAATCTTACATAATTATGCACTTATTGCACTTGCTCCCTAATAAAAAATATTAATATAATACTTAACAAGTAAAAATAAACTCCCAACTAAATGACTACACGGACTAATTATAGCAAAAAAAAAACGCTATTGTTTGAGTGAGCACAGGAGCATTTCAATAAATTAATTACCAGATGACATAAAAAACTGGAATGCTAATACTTTTGATATTTTTGAACATGAAATGGTTCAAAAGTAGACTTAGGAAATACGTACATACAGTGTAATCTCTTTATTCTGTGGTACCTAATATGTATAACTATGTCACTTCCAAAACTTAATATAATTACTTTGTATCTCATTAGATAAGTGCACCATTGTATGTTCTGATGAGAAATAAAATTCTTTAAACCGAAACCGAAAAGTAAATTGCTAACTAAGGATCAATTGAAGGAACATTCTACCTATATAACTCCTATCTAGAAGATTTTAAGTAAACACTAACAGTGTCATTCTATAGGGTTACAATATTGGCTACTGTTTTAAATTATATAGTCAAGCGATTAAAAATAACTTTATTTTTATTAAGTGATATTTTTATATCACGGCCGTATTATTATACAAACAAAAAAGTAATCATTTGTACAACCTCTACATTGACAATATCGATGTGATTAATAGCTGCCCTCACCATTGAGTTATAATGTGTCCTCACCTCGAATTGCATTCAGAATCCTTAACCGATGTATGCTGTTAACTATACGACATTCATTCTCAAGTTGCTCGTCGCTTAAACCTCTGATAGATTCTTTATCGACACCCGCGTTTAACATGGAGTATGTATATATTGTGTATTCGGGTCCTATGCTTTGTAAGAACTCGTTAAGGCTGCCCGTGTCTCGTGAACTGTAATCCGCCATTTTCTTTAACTGTTGAAGCTCTCGCGTGAATCTGAAAAGCCAAAATATTATCGATATAATTTTTTGTTCTATTTCCGTAATTTCACAGTTATTTCTTAAGGTTCTAGCGTAGATAAATTCAGAGCCTAAAAGCTTCGGCTAGAGTAAAAGTATCAATCTTCATTTTACTACAAACTTTATCCCGATAATAAGTGTGGGGGAGAAGTAGTAACATAATCCTGTTCCATAATCACTTATTTACGTAGGTATTTTAAGTGCTGTTAAAAAAAATGAGCTTGAGAAAATTTTTGATCTAATATTTTTTTTCAAATAAGATTGTCGTTATATTAGTATAATAATAAGGTGACATTACTGATATACCTTTTCCTTTTGATTCCGTTATGCAAACCAATGTCTTCTTTGAGATTATCTTCAGTTATCTGTAGCAGCAGATCACCATCAACTCTGCTCTCTTGGAAATTGTTTGCATATTCAGCAAAGCCTATTTGTTTAACCCATTCTTTTACGTCCTCTATCGACCAGAGAGGGACCTGCTGCGACAGTTTGTGAGGAACTTCCTCGCCTATGAGCCTTAACGCTTGGGCGGCATATTTAGATGCGACTGCGTTTGGACAACTGGCCACTTTCTTTAACGATTCTATAGCTCCAATTTCTCTGAATATTTCTGTGTTTCCTTGCTGTTTCTTAATGCCTGCTTCCATGCAAAAATGGAATGCCGCTAAATTCCGAGCCTCCTCCCTTTTTGAACTTAATACAGGAACTAACTTTTGTAGCCAATTTTTGCTTTGACCATGTGCATGAGCTAAATTAGATTTCGCAAATTCTGATGGATTGTGGGACGTTACAAATGGTTCTACCAAATCTAAAGTTCCTGATTTTAATACAGCTGCTTCAATTTCTTTATTGGCAACCAAAACAGCGATGGCCAAACAAGCGTAATACTTGATATTGTCGTCGTTGTGGAAAGCTAAAGGAAACAACCACATGGGCACTTTCCGCTTTATCATCGCCTCTTGATTTTCTGCACCACCGTACAATGACAGATTAGCAAGTGCTGTAGCACAGTGTCTTAAAGTTTCTATGTCATTTTTTCTACATTCAAATAAAACAGTGTCTAAACCTCCCAGTTTGATTACGTCACTGCAGGTCCCTTCGCTGTGTTTGAACAAATGCTCTAATATACCGGTGCGTATTCTCGAGTGTTCTACTGAATTCGCATATTTAGTACATACGCAAGCCACATTCACAACTTTTTCCAAACCGTTCTCAACAACATGCGCTCTGTTTTCTGTTGTAAGGCATTGTTCTAGAAGCTTCGCCGAAGAGAATTGTAGTTCCGGATTATTAGACTCTAAACAATTTTCCATTAGGATATCAAGGCCGCCTGATGTTCTTAATGTGTTGCAGAGCGAATATCCCAGTTCATGGCCATATGTTGGAACAGCCCATGCTCTTCTCATCATTTCATTTAATTTGTTAAAATGTGCCGAAGCATTCTTTATGTCAATCTGATTATTCTTAATAGAGGCAATAAATGCGTTCATACGCGATGAATACTTTTGTATCGCCATTTCAACGTCCTTCTGGTTTGAATGTGCGTTTAACTTATCCAGATCATCAAACGTTAAATTTGTTAGATCTTCATCGCCAGGTTTGATTCCGTTTAAAAGCTGACTCATCTGAAATGGCAATGTACGACATTAGATATCAAATTTTGAGTAAATCGCACTTACGTCAGGACACGCGTATTGTTAACGTTAACTTTTCTTTGTTGGAACTGTTACTGGGTCGTTAAAAATCATCGAAAGAGAATCGGAAGTTACTAAATTAAAGTATTCCGTTTAAATAAAATCAGACGATAACATTATGAACGAAAAGAAATAAATATTTCAAGCAGTTAAAAAGCTATCAACTTTACTTTCAAAGTGTTTGCAAAACTGGCGTAAGCATCTTATAAAAATATTCATTATATTTAATTTTTTTTATAATAATTTAGGTCAGAAAAGCTATTATACTGTTGTTGCTAGAGTCCACATTCATTTTTTGCGTATGGGTTGCAAGAAATCATGATAATCGTATCGCAAATACAAATAAAATTGTCGCATATTTTTGATGTTATTCGTTTATATAAAAAAAAAAATTGTTACTTTCAGTACGTTACTTTTGGATAATACATATCGGACTCACCTGTGAGGAAAGTAACGTCGATTTAGTCGATAGATTTTTACTGGAAATGGTCATATTAGAATGCGCAACACTGGAGTGCTCCTTGTGGCTGAACATTCCGCTTGAAGTAACGGTTTGCCTGGCTTGTGCTGAAGCCATCGCTTTCTTCTCAGCACTAAAAGCTTCAGTCTGCAGTCTTGAACTAGTAGCCGACATGTTATTTGCTTCCTGAGCTGTAACTTCACCGGCTTTTAACGACCTTTGCTCCTAAAACACAAATTTACAAAAATTAATTAGTATGCTAGGATCACTAACACTTTTGTAGTCTTAAAAACAGTTTTCTTCTTATCACAACATCACTTTCATTTTGACACATTTAGAGCGCTCATTTTAAACACCGTGATTCATATAGAATATTCAGTAGTTACAGGAATAATGATACGCAATTTGGGCCTCGGGCGTCGCCTAGAAGAAGACATTATCGCTAAATCGAACACGTTTCGTTCTGAAAACTATATAAATACTGAAATTGAAAATACGCGTAGCGGCCGCTATGAGTCTGGATGTAGGCCAATCGCGCGGAACCCGTGGGTATCGTGATTATTTTAAAGTTTGTGTACGGACGTGCGCGGACGTCATGTTTTCGGAAGGCCGGGTGTTAGAATTTTCCAAAGCAGAGCGTATTACCGAAGGGTTTAACGGGTTCGGAGGGTAACGCGAGAGGATACGTCGATGCACGGGCCAAGGAACTGACCCCCCGCCCGACATTCCGCTTCTAAATTTAAAGCCGGCTATTCGCGTTTGCGAGCGCGTGCGCAATATTACTTCCGTGTGTTGCTTGCGCGCTACGGTCAGGCACGGACTGAGACAAGCATGGTGCGTTTACGATAAGCATGAGATAAATGTGTAAGGCCTCGATCATACCATCGGTGTCCGAGATTACGGTGGTTAGTAAGCGCATACTAAAATACGGAATTTTGAACGTACGTGAGGCTTTAACCTTAATATTCTCACTGCACGAGGTGATACCCCACATTTTAGCACTCTGGCGGTCCATGCGACAATACGACCCATGTTTTTCTATAAATATTTAATAGTAAATTTTCCATCTGACTGCCGCAAGAAACGATAGTGCACTGAGACTGAGTTACCCCGACGTTGCTTTGCGGCGTCGCGTCGTCGTGGAGTATCGATCGATATCGTACACGCGAGGTCTCGTCCTTCGGCGCGCCTTTCTGGCTCCTATTTCGTTTCGAACTATTTCAATTATAATAGTTTCTTTTAGAATTCTCGTTTTAATTTTAACTGCAATATAACGCGATTAAGTAAGTAGTGCTAATGCTGGTGTTTTAAATGACTATAAACACTGTTAACGTTGCATTGTTCTCTACGGCGTAAACAAAAAGTTCGGTCAAGAACTCTTTAATTCAAGGTTGAAATCTATGCGGCAAATTCAGTACTTTTAAACTTTTTGGAAACTCTGTAAATCTACGGAAATGTAATTATTGTGCCAAAACATAATTATTTTATGAAAATGTAACATACTGACACGGGATGTGTGAAGATAAACGCGGATCCAAAAAATATACATAATAAGCTTTCATAAGCTAAACAAGCAGTTCACATGATGGTAAGTCTCGATTAAGAATAAAAATGAGAACTAAGATGGAATGTGGTGAAAAGAGTCTCCGGTTCTTTACACTCACTCTACGAAACACAGCAGCATTAACCTGCTATTTTACTCTGGTATTCTCTGAGATACGTAGTGCCGATCCATTCATGCTGCAACCATAATATTGCTACGACGTGGCGTAACTATACGTACTATACAAAATCGCTATTTAAAAGTGTACCTTGTAGAGATACCGCCATAATACTTACCGTTTAAAAGTTATATTAAATGAAAAGGCTTATTATTTTTATCTAATTTAAAACAATAACCAAAATGGAACAACAATTCAAGCGCTCGCACTTGTGTTCGCCTCGCCCTAGCCAGTGCTCGCTGAGACATGTTCTCCCTCTTTTCCCTTTAACACTTTTCGCCTCGAAAATGGCGTGGAGTGAGGTAAGATTTCATACCTCTCATCTACACAAGATGGCCTTAAGATATTAGCGAATCACGTTGTTTGAACATTACTGATGAATAGCATTATTATTGTTACCTAATCTTTTAAGTCCGTGTACTGTTTTGTTACTTACTTGAAGATAGGCATCATTTTGCTCCGCAGTTAACCCCTCAGCTTGCAATAGACGATGCGAGGCGCCAGCAGCACTTCGTTCCGCGTATTGTACGTCGCCGTGCTGCAATCTTCTCATCCTTGCGCTATTAGCAGCGGATCTTGAGGCACTGTATCCATCCGCGACTACTCTGGTAGAACTCGCTGACGTGACCCGAGCCGCACTATACTTTAACTCATTAGCTGCACTTGAACCCACAGATACGTTATTGCCAGCAATTAAACAAGATTTGTCGCTGACAGGCGGCGGAGTATCCGATTCTGGGAATGTTACTAACGGCGCATCAGCAGCAATGTCGCCTATGTCTCCCATGTCACTGTAATCACCCATTTCATCGAGATCTCGGATGTCTGGCAAATGCCTTTCATCTTGATCCACTATGTTCTCCATTGAGCTTTTCAGTCTGCAATGAACAAATTGACATGTATGAACCACAAGAATGGAAGTTCCATTAAAAAGATTGCGTTGTTTTAAATTTAACCAGACACAATTTTTAATAATATATTATTCGAAACGATTGCGGAGAATCGTACTGTTTCTTTTGTTTGTCGGCGTAAAACTACAAACATGAGCGATGAAAAGGCGGATGGAAATTGGCCGGGAGCCAAGGCTTCAGGTGAGCCAGCTCGCCTGTTATCTTAAACACCCATTGACAAGGTGCAAAAACATTGACATATATATCACATGTGTTAACGTTACGTAAAATGAAAAAGAGGTTATTCATTTGTCTACGTACCTTTGTCCAAAATTTAAAGCTGTACTGCTTAGGTTTTTCATTTCCGAAATGGAGCTTTTAAGTTCTGAAAGATCCGATTTCATAGAGCTGGCTTTCATTTCCGAAGCAGTCATGTGTTGGAGACGCTGCGATGAGCTTTGTAATCGCTGACTTGACGCCGCGCTACTGGAAGTTGTACTGGAAACCATCTGTAGGTAAATGATTAATTAGTATTATTTAAGGTCACTTCTTCATACTGTTTACAAAGATCCTTTCAAATAAAACGAGAGCTCTTCGTATGTAAACAAGATTATTAACCTTTGCTTCGATAAGGGTATCGATTTATAAGGAAAATGTAGGAATTCCGCCTTGCACAATTATTTAGAAAGAAGTTACTGAGACAACAGGTCTGATAGTACACGTCGTCGTTCGCAAACGTTATCTAGACGTGGACTGGAGTTCAGTGCCAATGTTAGAGGTGTACGTGCGCCGTGCGGGCGTCACGCGTCTTGGCGCACTCGCGATATATAAGTAAATAGTGACGGTGAATAGAAAGAATAAGGTACTAAAATAACATGACAAAACGATCGTTACAAGCCCAAATAAATTAAAATCAAACGGAAATTTAATTGTAATTTAATGCATTACTAAAACACAAAGGTGATGAATTTGATATTTAATAATAACTAAATTAAACTGTGATGAAGAACAGGAGATAATTTAAAGCAGCCAAAAATATACAAACTAATATGCGCTATATTTGTGATATGAGTGGAAGATTTAAATTTTTGGCATTATATACTGTTGGGGGTACCACATCTGTGATTCAGCGTATGTGGGTGGAATGCAACTCAATTCAAAATAATGACCTTGAATCTTATTTAACATACATTTTTCTCATTTCTAGAAACACATTAATTTTATCGACTGTCGTCATCACCATAGACGTAGTCTCCCATCATGTTGAATTTTTAGAGATTATTTCGGTTTTCACCAACATAACATATTTCTGTCGGTAAGAACTAGTGCAGTAAGAAATCGAGTAGGTATAAGTTAAAGCTAAGGTTATAGTATATATTATAGGTATTTCATTTTATTTCAGGGATGAAAAAACTCCTGTAGATCTCTTTGATAGAAATCGGATGCATGTGTCCATGGACCGCAGAGACCCATTGAACAGAGCATGCTCTCTTTTTTCATGTAAAACGACACCTTTTTACTCTTTCACTCAATGTGTTATCTAATTTGAAAGTTCCTTATTCTTTAAGCCGAACGTCCCATCGCACCGACCGCAAACTAAACTAATTTAGTTTATCTTAGCTCGCATAGCTGAGCTAGTTTTTCATACATGTGCGTCCACCGCAAACAATGCCAGCTAATCTAGGTAAAGATAGGCCCACGTCGGTGGACGTGCAACGACTTTTCCAGGTTAGTTTAGCTTAGTTCACTGAGCCTAGTTTTCAAATAGTTTATTTTGCGATGGACGTTCGGCTTTAATGTGACAAAAAAGATGCTTATTCATTTCCCATCACTAGTAATTTTTGACGAAAATCATGATATTTTTCTCAATGCAGATAACAAAATACTTGTGATAAAATACCTTCCTAACTAAAATAAACCAATAATAAACCATTTACGGTATGTAAGTATTTTAACAATTTGAGATACATATACGGATGAACAGGTATACCTCAAAACCCGAAAACGAGATTGTACAACCAGTGCGTATTGCCAGTGATGACTTATGGATCTGAGACGTGGTCCTTCACTGCTGGCCTATGAGGAAGCTCAAGGTCGCTCAGCGAACTATGGAGAGGACTATGCTCGGTCTTTCTCTGCGTGATAAACTTAGAAATGAGGATATCCGCTGTAGAACCAGAGTAACCGACATAACCCAACGGATTAGTAACCTGAAGTGGCAATGGGCCGGCCATATAGTTCGAAGAACCGACAATCTATGGGTAAGAAAGGTTTTTGAGTGGCAGCCTCGTACCGGTAGGCGAAGTGTAGGGCGACCCCCCACTAGATGGAGTGACGACCTGGTAAGACATGCAGGAAGTAGATGGATGCAGGTGGCTCAGGACCGTGCTTTGTGGCATTCCTTGGGGGAGGCCTATGTTCAGCAGCGGACTTATGAAGGGCTGTAATGATGATGATGATGATACGGATGAAACAATGGTGTAAGTAGGAAAAAGCTAACACAAATATTTGTCTGGGTACAGCATCAATAATCAATTTGCAGATATTTAGAGATTATGTTATATATAAGAAAGAAAGAAAAAAGAAATACGTTCAGTTAGTACACACATTCTAAAAAAATAGGTTAGACAGAGAAAAAAAGTATTTTTTATCTTAACAAAAATATTAAAAAGAAGCAACGTAATATGCACCAAAATTAAGACAACATGCAGATAGAAGAATATGATTTTTTACATAATGTTAAATAGGTTGATAATATAAAATTGTAGTGTGGTCGAGCGTTTCTAATTAAAATCTGACATTGACTGTGAAAGACGAAAATAATTTTGTACTTATTGGAGCATTTATTTTGCAGCATATATTATGATATGACGAATTACAAATGCCTAAATGCTAAGATGCTAAAGGCGAGATGCTTCTCGCAACTTGGGTTTGTAATTTAATTTTAATTTAATAAGACTGCTAACGAAAATATAACATAATATTAGTGATCGATGCATGCATGACAACTTTCGATCGTGCCGACAGGCATTTTAACAAGACTGTAGAGCTATTTTAAACCTTTTATTAGGCGGTTTTATGGTTCTTCTTCACAACTTATCGAATTTAAAATAATTCCGTTAATCACCCTACATTAATTCCTTTGCTAAAATAATAGAAATTATATTAGTAAGCTCCACAAAATTAAGAGGTACGTAACTAAACCGAAATAATAATAGTAATTAATTTTATTAATGCTTTAAATTTCGGGATATTGACTTAGGTTTTTTACAGTATTTATATCGTTAAGCTGGCACTGTCCTACATCTTTGGTTATTGCAAAGTGACCTCTATTCTTATTCCTATCTAATAAGAGAGTCCGTTGTCTTACTCATCACTTTTAAGGTTTCTTCCGTGTGTAGGGATAACATAATTAATCCTATAGTAAACAAAACGTTTTAGGTACGAGTTAACTGGTTTTAACTTTCAATATTATATGATCAGCGCGATTGTAACATCTCGTGGATTATAACACGGACCTAGTCCTACGTTACGCCACGCTTCGCTTGGCTAGCTGCCAGACACCATAGAGGCATGCGCACCGACTGGTCTCCACCGTTATAAGCGGTAAATATATTCATAATATACTTCCCGTTTTAGTTTAGCTAAATTCAATGTTAGTTTTCCTTTTAAACTAATATGCTGAAATCTTGATGGTCCTATTACCTACCATATCAATTATTGAAAATATATATCGATTTAGAAATTACGTGAAACCTGTAAAAGATAGACACGGAGATAGCCATAAATAAATTTAATCACTGAGATGATGCCTGTGTGTGTGGTGTGTGTGACATGGGCATTTGCGAACATGTGTGCGCAAGGTTTGAACACACATTTGCATTTTCCCATGCATTGTCGGTTTCACAACGCATATCAAAGAAAGCAAAGTTAAAAGTTTCAGTGACTATGTATACATAGAATATATAAATATGTAGATCATGTCTATGTAATTCTATAAATGTATAGAATTTCTCAAACTTTTTTATACAGAGCCGCTAATATATAATTTGAAAAACAGGGATGAAAATCCAAACTATGTTAACGACGCGTCACTCAGAGCGAAAGATAATTTTACGGTATTTTTTACTTTGAAAGAACTTTCGATCGAATGAAAAAATAGTCTACTAACACATTAAAGAGATAGATCCTCATATAAAAGTAGGTCTAAGTAATTAATAAAATTTCAAACTTGTGTACGTCTCACTGCTGACTACAGGCCTCCTCTCATTACTGATGTGTTTTTAGGACAAAATTGTCCACCGCGTCCCTATTTTATCAGTTTCATTAATTTTCAATAATATACATTTATACAAATAAATAAAATTGAAGTGTCTGTTTGTTAGTAACAACTTTTTACTAAATTCGTATAAAAGTATATGCTATATTTATAGCAAAAACACAATTTTAAAAATATTTGTCTCTCTGTTTGTTCCGGCTAATCTCCGAAATGGCTAGACCGATTTTGACGGGACTTTCACTTGTAGATAGCTGATGATATAAGAAGTAACTTAGGCTACTTTTATTTTAGAAAAAGAATTAGGGTTCCGCGTAATAAAATTAAAACCCATGAAATCCAATAAATTAATCATAATAAATTACACGCGGGGAACAGCTAATATTTAGATAAAAATATACAAAAAAAAGCCAAATAAAACAGAGATACAAAGTCAACAAAATGGTCATCCATTTTTGTGCGCCATTTTTCCGAAAAATATAAGTGCAAATGTTGGGAAGCATGTTCGGCGTTTAAATGTTTGAAAAACGTGTGTTTGAAGTTTGAACACCCGTTTTTCAAACGTTTGCTCACGTGTTTGGCGCCGGGATAAAGAAAAAAGTTGTTAAAAGTTGTTTAACCTATTGATTGATGTGGTACGGTTTCACTTTCATTGTAAGAATATTTTTAACATTGTATAGAAATAGGTAACTTTATTACGACTCCAAACTGCGTCATTCTTTAGGAGCGTATTTATTGCGTACCAAAGACATTAATACTTTCAAACGATGCGATTGTGAAACATCATTACTTCAAAAAATATAGTCAGAGTTAATGAAAAAGACAAGGTGACTAGTGTGTAGGCGTTTTAATTCATATACAAATTCCTACTAACAGCGATGGAAACAATAAAATATTATGACCTTGGAACTTAACAAACATGCGGTAGATATTGTACTGATTTTCCAGAAGTTCTCACTTTATTTAATTTATTTTTCGCGTACATCACACTGGCCGAATTCAAAATAAACTGGCCATTTTATGAACAGGCCGAGGTCGGGCCAAAATAACCCATCTATATATAAAATATAAATGCTTTTCCATGAATAATACAGTGTTTTATTTACATTACCGGGACTTAGTCAATAAAAGAATATCATAATAAATTCAGCTTCTTATGTTTAACTACCATATTATTATACCGTTTAACTTTACATATTATACCACCAATAATTTTTTTTTAATCTGAAAGAAGCGAAAGAGGTATGTAAGGATCGTGACACTTGGCGATCTGTTCTCTCTGGCTACCCCGTCAGGGATTGTGCGTGAAGATAAGTAAGTAAGTAAGTATAATTTTTAGCTGCTTATTTATCGATACCGTTACAGCCTATTAAAGTCCACTGCTAAACGTAGGCCTCCACCATAGATTGCCTCATATGGGGGATAGCTACCACGCTTGGCAAGCACTTTCAGATTTGTTTCCCTCTGTCACTTACGACACCCACGAGATGGTATGGGGTAGTGGATATTCTTACACCGTCACTACACGGTATTTATTGATAGTTTATGAAAATTACAGTGTAAAAGGTGGAAGTGGAAGGCCACTTTATCTCCAAAAGCTAACTTCATCTTAACTATGTCAATTGGCGCAGGAGTCTCTGGCGCCCAAATAATGATAGGAAGGCTAACAAAATAAATTACATCAAAATTATAGATCATTATTAGTACGAGGGTATCAGTAGGTACGGCATTAATTTCCGAACTGGACGTAGGTTTTGATGTCTATTAGAGCTTGAAACGAAACAAAATGAAATAAAGATATTTTGGAGTTCTTTTTGACATTTCTTTAACATGATAAACCTCAGAACAATATGATAAACAATTAAATATTCCTTTAAATAACGATAATTTTTATGGTAGTTTTTGTTAATGTGTTGAGAAAAAAATTGTTGCGTATTATCCTGATTTTTGTTCTATCATTAAATTATCATACAGCGGATCACTATTCATATAGATAGAAAGGTTGTAAAAGAAATTACTAATAGACACTTTTTAACTTGGCCATAAGAATTTATACTGTCACGTTTGCTAAGTTAATTTTTTTTGCCTCTCAGATTCTGCTGCTTGTATCTTCCCATACTGCCTGTAGGTGTCGAAAGAGGCGACGAAGAAAAATTCCTTGCTTTCAATAGAAAACGGAAACCTCTAAGATTTAGAATATTAGGGCGATCGTTAACCGTCTTCCCCCCCCCCCCCCCCCTATTTATGCAATAACTGGTTAAATTGGCTAAGAATGAAAATGGTTATAATGATCGCAAATTTACTTGTTGTGAAGAAGAGCTGGTGACTTGTGTGTTCAGGGACTGATTCTGTCGGGAGACAAGGCTGCTTTTCTTCAAATTTTCCATGACGGAGGCCAGATCTTTGGCGCTGCCGTTGTGCTTTAGGCTGTTGTTTCCATCCAAGTTGAATTCCGGTACCTATAAAATAAAAATAACTATTAAATTCCGATCCGATTACAATGGTATGGATGAAGGTCGCACGAATTCAGGTAAACAGCGTCATTAATTATAATTAAAATCTTTGTGCATTGTGCTCTTAAAAAGAATTAACATACCAGTGAGTTGTAAAATTAATGAATTTCTTCAGCCGGACCTCGATACAAACCAATGGAAAGGTTGTTATGATGCTAGTACGAGGTAATGGATATTGTATTATTATTTGCTTCACTAGCCTTATTAAAATCAATTATAGCATCAACGTTTATACTACGATAATATTGGTAGCCTTTTTAAAATGATCGCAATTATTTAAAAGTAAAATTATACAAGGTTGCGAAAATGAAGTACTTTTGGCAAATTTTAAGAAAATCCTCTGTTAAACCCTCCCGTGGGTGTATAAAAAAAAGTGCGATCGCTGACCTGACATGGCAAAATTAATGAGGCAGTTAATGGGGGTGGCCTGTGTTTAATAGTGGACCAATCATAGGCTGTAATTAATAAATGAATGATAAACGTCAATGTCACACTTATTCTAGAAAAAAAAAATATATTGCGATAGTTTTATTTTATAGGGTTATTGTAAGATCCTTACGGATAGCTTAAAATTCTGTCAAATTTCGTAATCTAAAAACATAGTTTTAAAAATATACTTAATAAATTTGTAACATGTATTGGCAGTATAAGGTGAAAATTGTTTGATCAATATTCCGCAAAAACGATGACCGTTGCAATAGACGTATAGCAGGCAAGTATTACTAGATTGGAGACTGTATTTAGAAACATATAATTTAGAATACTATGACACAAAACAAGGTAGAGTACTCACACATAGCTCACAGAACAACAGGCTGTATATAAGTTAAAAGCTTAAAGAATATTTAGATTGGTTAAATATTTATATTATTAAATATGTAGTTATACAAGCCATTTTGTTATATGTAAAAAACACTTTCATAGATGAGCGCATATAATTAAAAGAGAAACAGCAAAGAAACAAATTAAAAATTGCATTATAAATTCAAAAATTAGACAATGTGATGCCAGTTATTCGGCTGTACAGAATTAGTAATTGATTTATGAGGCAATATACACCTACAACCAAATCTCAGAATATGTTCAATGCTTGTAAATCAACAAGTAAAAAAATATTAAACAAAAACTATGTATAAAAAGTTATATGAACTCATCGAATTTATAATAGCCTTTTCGGGTTAGAATTTTTTTCAGTCGCTGTCAAGTTATTAAAGTTATACTTCTTTTGAGGCGTTTAGGAAAAATGATGAGAGTGAATTTTTACGATGCGCGCGCACACCGACACCTAAAAACGACACCATGAAGTTGTTAAGATGCGCGAGCAACCTGACAACTTCAGTGGGTTTCACAAGTTTTCGTGGGACCTGATAGGTTAGGTTATTATTGTAGAGTATGTAAGCCGTATTGAAAAAACCAAGATCTGACAGTTGTGTTGTCATACAATAAAAGGTATAAATTTCATTTGTTTTAGTGGGGAAATCCCCATAAATACACAATATTTGGCGACTAGGACCTTATTTACGCATTATTGAGTGCAATAAATTTAAATAGTTACAAATAAATAATGCCAAATATAGAAAATGTGTTGTTCGGCAACAACCTCACAATTGATCACCACATGCAAGAGTGGGATATTTTTGAGAGTCGATTTGTCCATTTCTGTATGGCAAATGATTATCATGACGACACTGATAAAGCAGGAGTTATGAGAAGAGCTTTTTTGCTCAGAACATTAGCAGAAGATACATATCGCCTAGGAGAAGATTTAGTTTTTCCGTTAAAACCAGAAGACAGCTTATAAGGCGCTTATTGAAAAGATTGACAACCAATTTTCCTCAAAGAAGTGTATGTTTGCGCAAAGATCCGTTTCTTATAAAGCGGAACAAAGACCAGACGAAGACTTAACTGAATGGGCGGCCCGGGTTCGTCATCTCGCACAGTTTTGTGGTTTTAAAATAGAACTCGAGACGGCATTAAGAGACAAGTTTGTGCTAGGATTGGCGAATGCTGAGGAATAATTAAAAAAAGACATTCAGCAATGCGTTGGAATCCGCGCAAAGCGTACGATGTGCTCGAGTTGCAGTTCAAAGATCATTGCAAGATGAGGGACTAGCCATATCATCAGCGGCAGCGCAATCCGTTTTCGCTTTACGAGCCCAAGAAAATTCTGTTCGTCAAACTACAGAAAAAAACAATCTTGCTTGGGTTGTGGATATAAGAACTATACTAAAAATAAATGTCGATATGCGAATTATTTTTGTCAAAAGTATAATAGAAAGGCCATTTGAAACGTGTTGGTAAAGGTATATAATATAAGAGCAACACTTAGTTAGAGGTGGATGACAACGATTTAGTAAAAGGTATTTCTCATACGATCGATCTAAGGCAGTATGATAATTGAAATCATCTGACATTCCTCTCTATAACAAACTGAAATAAATAATGAAACCTGTAACTATATTGATGATGCTGAAAATGGGTGTTTCAAAATATATAGTTCATAAATTGTATATTACATTCATAACAATAATACGATGTTATAATATCTTACTGCATACATTAAGAATTGTGTAGACAGATTCATTGTATAAAAGTTGAATTATTCTTTTATATATTATAGTTAAACTAGATTATATGTTAGACTAGCCTTGCATTACATAAGTTCTGTGATATGTCTGATTTGTCTATTTAATTTGTTTGAATTGCAGGTTGATCTTCATCTTCCACGTAAATCATCTACATATCAGTACAAAGATATTGAACCTGTACCTAGCTTAACTATTTATACTACATTAATCAGTGGTGTTGAAGTGACATCAAGAAAGAGGGAAAGGTTAAAAACAATATTTAAATTAAAGAGAGAATTAAAAAGACAAAGAAAAAAGTAAAAAAATGGACAAAAGAAAATATAGGGTCTAAAATAATTCAACATATATGTATATTACATAATAATAATTCTCTGCCACTTCAAAGTATATTTTTAGCATTAAGTGATTTTCTTTCCATGCATATAACAAAAAAATATTGATTTGCAATATATTAAAGGTGGATAGACAGGAAGATCTTGAGATCCTGGAGCTGGAAGAAGAGATAGACAAGTTGTAGAACCAGAGTGACCGACATAGCCCAGCGGATTAGTAAGCAGAAGTGGAAACGGGCCGGCCATATAGGTCGTAGAACCGACACTCGATAGGGAAAAAAGGTTCTCGAATTTCAGAATTTCAACTTGTGAAGGGCTGTAATGATGATGAAAGAGGAAGAGTTTTATAAAACAAACTTAAGTGTGAGATTGTATCGCAGTTTTGCATTCACAGCATAATAATGTAAAATCGTTAATATATTTATTTATATCTTTATAATGATAAAAGAGGTTATATTTACCCATCAAAAGACGTGATGGATGTATATTTATTTTGTGAAACAATATTAAGAGTACGAGTAAATATAAAGTTTAAAAATCTTAATAAAAACAAATCACAATTTTATTAAAACGTTACCTCCACACTGGAATTTTTTCCTGTATCGCGGGGGCAGTTTTCATACATAGATTTCAAAAGTACAAACCTCCAGATCTAGAACAATTATTTGTAGCCCATACAAATACTTGATCCGTGCGGGATTCAAACTCCCGGCCTTTAGCGCTGTAACTCATTGCTAAGCCACTGCCCCACGGAGCCGTTAATTGTCACCAGGATCTTAAATAATTTTTTGTTATTTTTGTTTTGTAACGCTAAAGAAGTATAACTTCCTACGTGCGTACATATGTACACACACACTTGTTTTAATTCTTTTAGTTTCTTATATACACATTCGTTTGACGTTCTTTTGAAAAATCTTTCACATTTCCCTTGCGCGGCATTGGCCATTAATGTTCGCAGTCATATTGTCCCTTGCACACAGGGCAGTAGTTTGTAGTGGATCAGCTTCGGCGATTGTGCCTTAACGCTTTCTGAATTAAGGTAAATAGAATATAGAGATCCATGGTGGTCGCAGAATATACCCCTCAAGGATAATTATACCTGAAGGTCGTCTTGACTCCCGTAGCACTATCCTTGACATAAACATGCGATTCAGGGTGATTTAGAAGCGCGGTTATCGTTATTGCTTGTCATCACGAAATTTCATTTGTTAATTTTTTTTTTTACATGTAAATCCAATCCTAATAAGGGTGACAAACGAGCACACAGTTCACCTGATGGTAAGTGGCTGCTGCGGCCCATAGACATCTACATCTATCTTCTATTACAAATCAAAATGTAGATGCGCTGTCACCCGTGAGGACTAAGATGAAATGCCTCATTTCCAGTAAAAAGAGCCTCCGGCCACCTGCACTCACCAAGCGAAACGTAGAGGTAGTAAACCTCTACTTCACGCTGGTTTTCTGTGAGGTCGTGGTACCACCCCGGTTCGAGCCGGCCCACATCCGTGCGACAGCAAAAGCTGCCGCGTGGCTCTACCACTTTAAAAAAATAATAAATATAAGCGTATGTCCAATAGAAATTAGTGTTCAGGTATTGGAAAGGTTCAACCAAACTGAAAAGTTAAATGGAGCCATCGTATTATAATAATCGTTTATTATCCTCGTACTTCTTCTAATCGATTAGTATAATAGTTCACAGATGACAATCTGTTCAAAAGAATCAAGTATTTGGACAACTGTTATGTTGATATAAATTCTTATGTGACGAAATTATAAATGGTTACTGTAATAAAATGTTATAAATATTCTTTTTTAGCAAAAACTTAAATCTTTGACGTTTTCGTTTTTGTATTTTATTATTTTAAAATAAAAAAAATATCGTTTGTTTCTTTTTATTCTACGTTTAACTTAGCTTTAAATATAAATAGTTATATAAATACAAAATAACAGAACTTATGACTATTCTCTCACAAACAAGAATACCTTTACATCAGTTAATATCACTTGTACTCTGTTCTAATTTCTC